TTCTATAAACTTTACAACCATTTTCCCCCCAAATTACATGCTGTACAACTTTAGTACAATATCAAAACCAGGAAATTAATATTGATACAATGTCTATGTATAGTGCTGAGCTTTTATCACATATGTAGACTTCTACAACCACCCCAAATGAAGAAAAAGAATTATTTCAGTACTCCACAGAGCTGGCATTGTCATTTTGTCAGTCTGGGTGAATTGTAGAATCTGTACTACACTTCAAGTTGTTCTGTTACTACAACTATTGGCTATAAAACTGAACTCTGGGTGCAAATGCTCACCTGCATTAAGAGAAAATGGCATAATACATATGTAAAAGGAAAAATGAATTTATTTATAATTTTAGCCAAGAGTGGGAAGAAATTCCCTATGTGTCTTCTCCTGGCCCCTAGCAGTTTTATGACTTATAGAAAAAAATGAAAACAAAAGCTAGGAAAATATGCATCTGTAGATTTAGTTGTGGGCCCCAGCTCTGAGAGAGGACTGCCTTTCTTCTGGTTGTCAGGGATCTTGGGATGGGCTGTTTTTTTTATTCCCAACATGTGATTTCCTACAGGGATCCCAATTTCTGAGGCTCTGGTTAGACTCTTACACTTTCATTATTATATCATTGACTTAAGTACTTGCTAAACATCCATCACATTATGAAATATTACCCTGCTTGTTTCAACTGTTTAATATAGTCTTAAATTGTTTTCCCGTATTTTCTCTCTTTTCATTGCTTCTCCTTCTGACGTTTCAGTCTTCCCTCATTCTTACATTGTTTAGAGAACTCTTTTAGCCATTCTTTTGGAAGAGGTCTTCAGAAGACAGACACTACTTTGAGGTAGTCTAATTTTTTTTGGTCATTTGGGATTGTTCTTTTCATACTCCTTTGGCTATAGCAAACTTTTCTTGGTTTTGTTATTGTTTTTGTCTGTTCCCATTGGCATTTTGAGTTACCATTTATGAGGTAAAAAGAAACCCAAAGCACTCATCATGGTGCAGTTCCTTAGGTTCTGAGGTCCCTGGCCAGCCTGCCATCTTCTTTTTACCTTTAACAATCTTCAAGTTTCTTTTAATTATAATATCTAGATAAAGGAAAAGTTTCTTTTAATTATAATATCTAGATAAGGAAAAGTGTTTCTATTCTATCTTGGTCCTTAAAATATCTTAATGGCAGCATAATGTTTTTGATTTTATCATTATTTAATCATATCTTCATAGTTAGACATTTACTTTTTCATAATTCCCAATAAAAATAAATTGATATGGACTGGGTATGTGGCACACGCCTTTAATCCCCGCACTTGGGAGGCAGAATCGGGTGGATCTCTGTGAGATCAAGGCCAGCCTGGTCACCATAGCAAGATTTAGGTCAGCTGTGGCTACAGGGAAACCCTATCT